GTGTGTATTATACTCAAAAGATTAGAGTTCAAGAGACTTACTATGCTTGATTGTATCCCTCATAAATTTTCTTGTTAAAGGTATCATTTAAAATGTTAACAACCACCTGAATCTCCTGGTTTCTACACAAAGTTTAGAGCTAACCTTGCCCCTCTCAGATAAACCACTCTAATTTCCATTTGCATAATGGCTAAGTGCAGATGGCAGAACCCTAGAAATCGCTATTTTCTGCCAGGCTGTCAATCTAGCACATTTTTTTTTCCTTCCAGAAAAGGAGCTTGAAGAAACCGGCAGCTTCAAGTGGAACATTTATGGTACATCAACAACTCACCTTCTCAGATCTGCTCCATCTACAGGTAAAAACACGACTTTCATCCTAACAGGTTCCACCAAGTACGAGAAATGAAATCAAACCACCTTCTTTTCTTGCTTAATACACCACCACCCACAAGAACTCTAGATTCTAAGATTAAAACTTCAACCTCAGTAAGGAGAGTTCTGTTGACACAGAAGAATAACAGGGCACCTTGTTTCAGGCAATGCAAGCAGCAATAAAAACAGTAACAAAACACTCTGCTGACCCAAAACCAGGAAGATAATTAACAGAACACTTTCCACCTAACTACTTCTCTGGTCAGAGTACCTGCCCCAAACAATTATGGCTGGCCTCCACTTTACTACTATGAATTGAACAATTAACTTTTCAATTCCATCCTATCATACCCTTAGATAACAGACCACGAACTCTGTGAGGAGTCTAGCTTTCATTCTGAAAAGTGGTCCTTCACTCAGAGCTCCAGGCTTCTGCACAGAGACCTACACTTGTCACCATACCTGTTTACATACCTAAGAATGGTACCTCAGCACAATTCTAGATTTCTGGCACAGGCAAATAAAATATATACAGTAAATGAAGTGATACACAGAACAGACTCTTCAAGAAAGTATTTCTTCAGATACCAAAATGTTTCCAAAATAATAAAACTGACTAATGCAGTAAGAAAATGGAATTTGTTACGTATTTTAAAATAAAGCAACTTTAAGTAATTCTGAAATTGTTGGTAAAATATAACAATAAGGACAACAAAAGAAATTTGTGAGAGGCCAGTAAATTTTAAAGTCACACCTAATATGAAAAGGAAACAGACAACCACACTGTCAAAAATAGTAAAACATTTCGTGATGGGTTATTTACCAACGTATGAAAAAGAAACAGGAAATCTCAGAAAGCTGATGACAAGCTCTGCTGAAAAGTTCCTAATCTCTTCTAGAGACTTTACATAAAAACCAGATCAAGTATGTAAAGGATTTCCCCATATACCACAACCAAAACTCTTTTCTTCCAAGATCAGACTGAGAAACAATACCCTGAGTCAGGGGTCTTTAGAGTAGAGTGTGCCCCAGAGGGTGCACAAGACAATCTACTGGATGGAGGAAAAAACATTAGAATTTCTACTCAAGATTTATTTTTATATCATCCTTAATTTCTGTTTCTGTGTGTGTCTTATAGTATACATACGACTTTAGCACATACGAACATACACACAAATTTGCAATAGGGGATTGTGTTCAAAGCCTTTTATTGATCAAGGTGTGTGTTCAAAAAGCTTAGAGAATGTTTTTCTGAAATGCCAATGAGTGGCTCTAATGGCCCTAAATTCATTAGAACTGACTTTGAGAACTTTAGAATCATAACACAATTCTGAGATCAGCATGAAATACTGTCATCAGAGTGAACATCACACAATTACAGGTGTGAATGGCACTGAAGTGTAACATCGACAGCCTGCAGTTTCAGCTCCAGAGTTCCAAGCCTCTGATTTGCATGTCCCTCCAAACCTAAGTGACACATAGGATGAAAAAACTAGAAATCGTGCCATGTAAATAGGTTAGTCAGTCAGTCTAGCCTTCTTTTTTTTTTTTGATCGCTAATAGAGTATGTAAATCTTCAAGGAATTCTTTGAGTGTAAAAAAAAAAAAAATCCAGTGTAAAAAAAAAATCCAGTTCCATTTTACTATATAGGCTCCATTTTACTATATAGGCCATCAAAATCTAAAGAAAAAGTCACATTACCTGTATTTTAGCCACCAAAATATAGAAAAATTAAACCTATATTTTAACTCTAAGAGGCTTAAGGTTGATCTTAGGAGGGTTTTTGGATTCTTCCATCATGTATAAATTTTTAAAAAAATCAATGGAAGTTTCCACCTTTGTTTGAGTACCAATATATAGCCATGAAGAATATTACATCACAAAAGCACTATGACAAACCAAAAGGAAAAAATTATTTTAGAAATTAGGTGAAAACCCACCCGAGGGTAGAATAAACGCAGTGGTTCACTGGCTGAGTGTGTGGCCCTGAGCCACCTGCGGGCACCCCTTCTCAGCCCCAAGGTGGTGGCCTAAGATCAGCCTCATGGGAGTCACTTACACCATGGAATGGACTCAGCAAATGCTACAATTTAAGGCCTTTTCCCCTTCAGACAGCCTGGTGGTTAAACACCTCCCCGCATAAACTCATTCAGATACCAGCCAGAGCAAATGAAAAGCTAAGCCAATCACAGCGTAAGTTGCAGAAGTTCACTAAACCTGCTCCCCTATTTTAACTTGGGCTACTTTTGCCTACCAGCATCCATCCTGGCAAAGTGACTAGTGATGGATACCAGCTACAGCTACCACATACAAGTCTCTCCAGTGAATACTGCTCTGAAGTGGTATGTCACCTTTTGATGCTAAGAAGAACTCTGGATGTTTCAAAATCAGAGACTTTCCCAGGAAGGAGGTAGTTACAAATAGAACAACCTGCCTCATACACTTCACTATGGTTGCAGTTTTATTTCATTTAAAACTGTGAACACACACACACACACACACACACCAGCTTCCCCTAGTTGATCTCAAAGAAAAAGCAGATCATCATCAACCTCGTAAGGCCCACACCTCTCAGAGACTTCCAGGAGGGATTTACAGGCAGAGCACTCACTAAAACTGGTTCCTAGGAAGTTGCTTTGATGGAGTTTTAATAGTGCCGTTGGTTCCCAGGCACCCTTTACTGAAACAGTTAGTTATCAAAGATACTATCTGTGAAAACAAACAAATGGCTTTTTTCCTTTGATTCAAAATAAAATACTTTTTGTGCTTTCAAAATTTTAAATACTAGTTAAATCAAGCCATCAATATTTACTTATGTATAAAATGTGAATTAACCTAATAAAACTAGTCCAAAGTGCTGCTGAGCAGTCTGATTTCAAAAAAGCATGCAAACTACATGATTCAGTGTGGGGAAAAAAAATCCAGTATGTCTGTTCCCCATCACTACTGAACAGTACCTTTCAACACTACTATTGCACATCTCAGGAACAGAACTTATCAGCTGATAACCACAAATTAAACGGTAACAGGTCTCCAACACTACAAATACAAAAGGCAGCTCCCTGAATACCATCCTTCTGCTACTAATGAATTAGCATAGACATCTTATACCAGAGTTTCTCTATACTGTATAAAACAAATTTCAAGCAAACATATACAACTGGAAGATGCTGGTTTATAGCAGTGTCACTTTGAGCCCTCAAGTCCTTTACTACTTTCATATACCATTTAGTTCAAGTCGTTCAATTATAGGAACTATTTCTAGGGTTAAAAGACTAGTTTAATGGGCAGGGTGGTGGTGGCAGCAGCATATCATCTAATCCTGGACTTTAAAGCCAAATTTTTCAAAAGACTCCACTGTGATGTTGGCATCAAATCAGCTTAGGGGTCCAACAAATCTGTCTGAACCTGGCAGTGACAACTATATGCTAACATTTCACAAATCTGGCAGAGATGAAGGCCGACATTTTTCACTACTAATATGAATAATCCAATCCAGATGAGCTTTGCTACTTTCTAATTAAAAAAAAAAAAGAAAAATCAAAGAAATAAGTGTATTTTTACCTCACTACAGATTTAAAGAGTTCACTTTGCTTTTCATCTTCCTAATTAAAACTATCACAACCTCTAACAATTTTAAATTTAAAAGATAAATAAACAGTAGGAAATGGGATAAAATAAACAGAAAAAAGGTCCTTCACACTGGGTATCTTTTAACTGGGAACGCCTACATGTTGTTCCAAGTTTTTTCAATTGAATCCTTGACTCAGAGATGCCTCAGACTCTCAAATCCCAGATTCATCCCCCAAAAGCCATCATTTACCATAAGTATTCCATGGGTGTAGAATCATACCAGCAGATGACAGTTCTGTGCCAGATATGAGGCCCCATATTCTCACTGTTTGTTCCAAACACTGCCTTAAGCCCCAGGTTTAAAAATCTCCTTATGTGGGAATAAACTAGCTCCATGCTCTGTTCAGATTCAGTCAAGATCATACATAGGGCTAAGAAAACCACCCTGAATAAATGTAAATAAGATAAGTTTTTGTGGAGTTGCTTACATACATTATACTTCACAGCAAAACAGAATATCCCCAATAGTCCTGCTCCAATCTTACTTCGTGTGAATAGGAATGATTCTTTTTCTTCCACTGCTTATGCACAACTCACTTTCAGTATTCAACAGAGCATATGTAAGTCCTAAAGACATGGCTAACTTCATTTAACTAGCATTTCCTTATATAATATGCTCAAAGCATAACTGCCAAAGGGTCCCAATAAGACAAGAGGAGTAACTTTGATCTGAATTCTCTTGCAAAGCATAGCCTGATGCTAAACCCGATTAAAAATTTCCTTAACACAAGGTTCAAAATATTTTTTAAAAAGAAAGAAAGAGGGAGGTGGAGTTTGGACTCCAATTAAGGCATTTTTATACAGTCTAGCTTGTATTCTTATACAAAGTCCTAGTCAAAGGGAATCCTAAAAAGCATTTTAATGGGGAACGGCAGAAATCATAACAGTCTATTATTAGCATCATGAAGTATCAATCCCTCACTTTAAATGTAATCATGTTGAATGTCTTTCTCTTTCCTTATTCCTTAATTCTCTCCTTCCACAAGTGCATAGGTTATGTTTTCTGTAGATCTGGGGAAAATGGGCCAGGGGTAGAAGGTCCATCCAGGCCAGACAGAGTGAACGGCCCATGACTGTTCAGCACAGAAGGAAACTGAGAAAGAAAATAAAACATGTTATCATCCTATTATGCAATCCTAAACTTCACTTTCTGTCCCTGTTATATTCCCTGAGGTAAAACACAACAGCACCTGCAGTGGCTCACAGGACAAAGGCACTAATTGTTTTTCATGGAACAATATGATGTCACAAAAACTTTTTAAAAAAATATGTCTGTCTTACATATTAACACTCTCCAGCCTACCTTGATGGAATGTAAAAACAAATTTATACTTTTCCTTAGATGCTAGAGTACACAGTTCACACCTGACTTCACATGAAGGTTACAGAAAGTTCAGAAAAGGACAGCATGCACTCTGTAGACTATAATTCAATTATATAGCAAATCAGACTGTCAAAAAGAGGTCCAGGAGGAGATGCCCATCTCATAACTGCTGCAAAGAGTTGGAAGGTGCTCATCCTAGAAAAGCACTCCCCATCATGTATTCTGAGACCAAATCTGTATGGAGATTCCAGGCTGAAGCTACTTGAGCACTGTGGTTTTCTCTATATAAATCAATTATCTCTTTGTGAGAGGCAAACAAATATGTAAAAGGAAATATGGAAAATTTTCCATATTCTTTCTATTTAGCAATTTAGAAGTTTTTGCAAAAATAATTGCATTAGTAGAAAGATTAAAAAATTTTTTTTTCTTTCCCCACCCCTTACCATTCCATTTTCAAAAGAACAAATTTAAATTGCAAAATCTAAAAAAAAAAAAAAAAAAATACAAAATCTAAGAAAATCTCCCAGGGAGTCACCCTGGAATAAGTGAATGAATCAATGTAAGAAAGCTGACAAGTTATAAAGTCTAGATAGTTTAGGCAAAATAATGGTTTACAGCTATGAGATCTTTCCTAATAAGGTCTTCGTTAAAGGTAATGCAATACTCATTTTTAAAATATATACATGTATATTTAAAATGCTGATGAATATCAATTCTGACTGACAGGAAAATAGGAGTATTTGGTAATACTATTCTCAAGAGTTTTTTCTATTTTTAAAAAAATCCTCAGTTAAAAGGGGAAATTTATGTGCAGAGAATGCCCCCAAATATACATACATACACACACTCACATTTTTTTTAGAAAAGAGGATTTCCAGCATTTAAAATGATTTTAAAAATTGGATGAGCTCAAAATTTACTACAGTATTGAACAATTCTTAGTCTAATTAAAATGTATGGAATAGTAAACAATGAAAAGGAAATTCTGCTGTGAATATTAATCTGAGTTGTTTGCGGGCCAGAAAATTAACACTTAGAAATTCAAAACTAAATCTAAAACACTTTTTAAATAGAAGTTTTACAATGATTAACTTTAGAGTGGATACTGCCTTTGCCTTTCTGTTCATTTACCACACCCCAGTTACAAAAGACAAGCTTCTATGTAATTTACCTGAAAAAGTGTGTTAGCACCTTGTAGTCTGGCTGGACTCAGGGGAGCAACAGGGCTGAGAGTACTCCAAAAGTGGATACTGGAGAGCAAGGGGCTTGGAGTCAGTAAGATGGGAGTCTGCAATATACAAGCCAAAATATAACTAAATGGCTTATCAGGATTATGTTTTATCCTTGTAATAATACACAATTAGCCCTGAACCCAAATATTGTCCTATTCTCCATTCCAAGTATCTCCAAGTCTGAAATCTTATCCTGAGGAAACAGTCAGAAATTACTTTTACAACCCAGAAAAGAAAAAGGTCAAAGTATTTTCTAAACTGTTTTTTGTACAATCTTTGTCAAATAGAAAAACAAAACCAATCTGAATTCAAGTATGGAAAAATAATAGGTAACTGAGTCACAAACATGCTTTCCCCTTAATAATGAGTAGATCTGGGAGTAACGTGTTTAAATGTTCTATGAGATGAAAAAGTTAAGAAATAGCTAATGTTAGCTAACTCTAAAACTTGTTATTCAACATCACACCATGTTTATTAAGGTCCGCAGGATCTGTTCTTTTCTAACGTGAGATTGTCGCTGTTGTTTTATAAGACCACCCCCCACCTCCACCAAACAGAGAGAGAATATACTTATTTTCTTTAGGAGAAAGTGGAAAAATTAGGTTACTTTCACAGGGTCACATACAACCTCTCTAAAGCAAACCTACTACGTAGGAGAATAAGAACTGAGGTTATAAATTCTGGATTTGTTTTAAAAGTTGAGAAAAAACAAAATAAATGGTAGCATTAAAAGGAAAGAGAATGTTACCTGTGAAAAAAGCGCTGGAGTAAGAGAAGCTGTAGGGAGAGATGGGCTTAATATTCCCAGTGGGCTTGGATCACTGCCCGTGATCACAAGGGTCGGTGCCAGCTCTAACCCTTTGGGTTTCTTGGACCTCGATGAATTAGTTTTGTCCTTTTCTTGCAAAGCTGAATCCTGGTCTTTAGGCTCCAGGGACAAGTTCTCTGGAAGCTGCATTGGCTGAGAAGCCACTGATTCCATGTCTGTGTCCATGTCTGGGTTGGAACTCAGCGGTGGTGAAGGAGTTCTAGGAGGCTCCTGTAGAGGGGACATGGACAAAACAGGAGGTGTGGTGGTAAAAGGGGCAGTAACTCCTGATGCAGAAGTTGGTGCTTCCAGGGAAGGCAGTCTGGGGGAAGCCAAAGTCTCCAATGCTTGGATAGTTTCTTCTGAAGATGGAGAAATACCTGGGCCAGCTGAAATGGAGGCAGCAGGAGGTTCAACTGGTAGCTTTTTTGAAGGTGTTGTTACAAATTTGATAACAGATGGAGTTGGCTCCTGAGGAGACTTTTTCTCTGCCAATTTCTCAGCTGGATTCTCAACCTTTATAGATTTGAAAAGCTTCCTATTGGAGGAGTTCAAAGAGTTGAGAGTAAAAGAAGAATATAAGCCGGAGTGTATGTAGTCATTGCGGCTCGAGGTCTTGGCACCGGGCTGTGGTGGCTTCTCTTTCCCGCCACTCTCCACATCTTTGGAACTGCTGCTGAGCTCACTGAGGCTTAAAGCTTCACACTCCCCCTCAACCCTGCCCACTGTCATTGGGTCCATGTTCAGAATCTCTGGGTATGAGACAAACTTGTACACAAACTTCTGACCATTCACTTTTTTAATGATATTCTGTAGATAAACAAAATAAGCACTCAGACTTTCTTAAACCTTTCTTAAGCATTTGTTAAAACTTTACCCCACCCCCCAAAGATCATGAGAAAGCTGACTGAATGGGGTTCTCTATTTGATAGGTAGTTTACTTGAAAACTTCAAAATCACCCAAATTTATCCAGCCATACCAAACACAGTTCCAACCATTATGGAGTACAAGTTAAAAACATTTAAATGTCTTATTAACAACTGAACTAATATGTTGCATAAAAGCTGAAAGATTTTAATTGCTTAACTCCAAAGGTACAAAAACACTCACATCCTCAGGAAGCAAAAGGAATTTAGAACATTACTTCTAAGGTTCCTACTTCCCTCAGAAACTCAAGCTGTTTCTTACCTCATCTCTCCACACAGGAAAGCTGATAATATCAACACTCAAAGGTGAAAGAAATTAAGATCCCAGCTTCTCACTCTAATTCTCTCCATTTGAGCATTTTATTTTACTTCCGTGCCCAAGAATGTATTCAAAATAATTAGAAATTAAACAAAAAATTTTAACTAAGAAATCAAACCTAGGTATTAACAGTTATTCTTTAAGGTATTAATTTGTGTTCTGGGTTAAACTAAACAGTAAAAATTAAGTACACCTAAAAAACAGTATGAGATAATTTTTAAAGTAAATTATGATATAAACAAGAGTAATTTATCTATGCTGAAGAATCCCAAATTTCCTTTCCCTTATTTCAACTCTATAATCATTTTTTTCTTTAAAAACAACTGCAATTGGGAATAAAATGTATGCATGGGAGTCTGGTACTGAATATGAATTTGCAGAAATACACTTAGAACACTTACATCTTTTATTCTAATTCCAAGCTGCTGAAGCTGTAAAATAAATTGAGTTAAAACTAAAACAGTGATCATTTCATAATGCATACAAATAATGCATCATTATGCTGTACACTCAAAAGCAATATAATTATGTCAATTACACCTCAATTAAAAAATTATTTTAATAAACAAACAAACCACGACATTAGTATGTCTAACCTCAACAGAAAAGAAGGAACAATTCTTGTTTCGAGGTGGATGTGTATTACCTTCACATAGTAGTATCTGAGGGCTCGGCTGAGTTTATCATAGTTCATATTAGGCTTGTTCTTTCGAATGCCCCAGAGACGAGCCACCTCTTCTGCCTGCAAAAGCTTGAATTCCCCATTATCAGAGGTCCAGCAGATCATGTGATCGTTCTGAGGCTCCTTTAGGAGCTGAAGGAGGAACTGCCACAGGGTGATAGCACTGTCCATAGCAGTGAGCTGAAAGAGGCAACACTGTATGTCACACGCTGTTTCAAGTGCTTCAAATGTATTAGACTGTTAACTGTTCATTTCATCCCCACAAGAATCCTGTGAGACAGATACTACTGCAGCCTCATTTTATACGTGAAAAAACTGATTCATTACAGAGTTAAGTAACTTGTCTAAGGTCACACAAGTAAATGGTGGAGCTGAGATTTAAACCCAGGCAATCTGAATATAGACCCAAACTCTTAAGCATGCCACACTGTCTAAGAAGTCTTGCTATGAGATAAAGCTAGTTTCATAAGTTACAGGAGAGGACTGATGAATGCCAACCAGTGCAGTATCGCTGTTACTGAATTTTATCTTAAAAACTCACTGTCGGGACTTCTTGGGGGTCCCGGGGCTAAGACTCCATACTCCCAATGCAGGGGGGCTGGGCTGGATCTATGGTCAGAGAACTAGGTCACACATGCCCCAACTAAGAATCTGCATGTCACAACTAAAACCTGGTGCAGCTAAATAAATATTAAAAAAAAAAAAAACCTCATTGTCACATTCTCTGAGGTGACCACCATTTCAGCATCTATCTATACTAGCTCAGTTGATTTATATGCCCAGATGTTCTGTGCGTCTCAGCGTGGCCCAGAGATGGGGGAATAGTTTCCATTATAATAAATGTAATTTTCATATAAATTGGAAGCACTGAAAACTCAGCAAAATGTCCCTTAATTTACAAGTTCTGCCACTATTCTGTCCATTGTGTGCCACCTGCACAGACCCTTTTATTTGATTAGTAAGATTGGAACTGAAAAACCTTTCAATATCTCAAGTTTTAAGATCTTCCTGTCTAGGCCAGTGCTCCTTAAATTCCCTCGTGGCTCAGACGGTAAAGCGTCTGCCTACAATGCGGGAGACCGGGGTTCAATCCCTGGGTAGGGAAGATCTCCTGGAGAAGGAAATGGCAACCCACTCCAGTATTCTTGCCTGGAAAATCCCATGGACGGAGGAGCCTGGTAGGCTACAGTCAGTCCGTGGGGTCCCCAAGAGCTGGACACGACTGAGCGACTTCACTTTCACTTTCACTCCTGCATTGCAGGTAAATTCTTTACCAACTGAGCTATCAGGGAAGCCTTCATATAATCACAGAGTGGAATATTAGCCAGAAAAAGAATGAAGTACTGATATGGGCTAGTTCAATGGATGAACCTTGAAAACATTAGGCTAAGTGAGAGAAGCCAGCTATTAATCTGAATAGGCAAAAAAAGCAGACTGGTGGTTGCTTAGGGCTGGGGATGGGTGTGGAAAAGAAAAGGGGAGTGACTGTTACTGGGGTGATGAAAACATTCTAAATTTAGATTGTGGTAGTGGTGATACAACTCTGGGAATATACTAAAACCACTGAACCGTACACTTCAGGTGAATTTTACTGTATGTGAAACATATCTCAATAAAAATGTTAAAAATGAACACTCCAAACAACACAAAAGTTAGGCCTGAGAAACCTAACTCTAACAATGTACAACTCACAAAGGATGGGATCCTTAAGTCAACTATGTCTGCTTCCAAAAAGGCCAGAGATGAGGAACTATATTGGAAAATATCTCAGTAATTTTTCTGAGACATTCAAAATGTCCTCCTATTATTCTGTCATAAATTTGAAGCTTGTTATACAGAGATACTGTCGTCCAAAAGTAGAGATGAGAAATTAAGAAAAGAAAAAGGGAGATGACTCCCAAAGTTAGAGAGTTAATGGAGAAACTGAGGCCATGAATCCAAGTCTCTTTCATCACAGTCATGTACTCTGTCCCCTAGGGAAACCACTTTCCTAGATGGAAAAGAGTATCCACATTACCTCCGGTTGTAACTAAGTATTACATTGTTAGATAATAACTGACAATAATGTACAAATATGAAGTGCTACTTTAATGCTAAATAGCCATGTTCACTAGAAAACAGTTTTCCAGAGCCTCACTTCAGCTGGGTTAAAATAGTGGTTTTACACTATATCCACCAAGTATAGTTGGCGGGGGGGTCCCCTGTCATTTCTCTTAATTTACCAGAGAGGCTTTTCTTCTAATGATGACTGTCATGGTAAGTTACTTTTAAACTGTGTATGTTCCCCACTTAAACAATTATTTGTTAGTCTAAATCTGTTACAACTATTCCCTAGTAAATTTCAGCTTAACCAAAGAACTCAAGTCTTTACATTTCCAGACACCATCTTCATGTCAAGAATGCTTACAGCAGTGTGAGTATGTGTGAGAGAGATGATTATGGTGATGTTGAAGCTACAAGGAGGGGAAGAGGAGGGAAAGGAGGACAGACAAGTAGAGAACTGGAATATCAAGACTGTTACAAATTTGGTGCCTACAATTTCATTTATTTTTGGAAAAATTCCCCAAACCAAATCCTAGACTTTTATGCCTATCTTGCAGATAATGCTTGTTTATAATGCAGGTTTATAATGGCTAAGCAATACATACAAAACAACAGAAATAACCATGAATTTATTTCCACAACAAGCACACAAGAGCCATCCAGAGCAAATGGGAAGTGTTCCCAAGGTGGTGTGGGTTTAATTTCTACCTCTCCCTTCAGTTATTAGGGAAGAGTGTGGACTGAACTTTGAGTAAGTTCTGGGAGTTGGTGATGGACAGGGAAGCCTGGAGTGCTGCAGTCCACGGGGTCGAAAAGAGACACGACTGAGTGATTGAACTGAACTCAACTGTGGACCGAGCCAAATCCTGTTGAAGCTGCTGGATACTGCACGGCAGAACCTAACTGTGTGGAAAACGCTGAAGCTTCTGTAGTACTTTACAGTGTGTCTAGGATAGAAAATTATTGTGAAAGAAAATGGGCACTGTGGTTTTGGACTGAAGTACTGGAAAAAAATTTTTTTTTTCTATTGGGAAAAACTAACAAAGACGTAAAATGGACATCCTCAGCAGGTACTTTAAAGGAACATTTTACTCATTCAACTTTGATATGTTTATTCTTTGACTGAAAAGGTGGTGAACCACAGAACACATAAGTTGAACCTCTTCATTTGAGTTCCTGTAAGTATACCATTGATATGAAATTCAACGATTTCTTCAGCCGTAAAAAAGAATTAAAGCAAAAAAAGGTCAGAAGTTATTTAAAATTACAAAGGTGAAATAAAGAGACAAAAATATTTAATACTTTTATTCTTATCAAAAGAAACCCAAATCCTTTTTCTTGAAAACTTTTTCATGAAAACCTCAATGTTTCCACAACTACAGTTTTTCCCAAAAATTTCAGTTTTAAAGAGTTTTTTAGAAGCAGTATAATGAGGGAGAGACATACTTAACTGATCCAAATGAAGGAATCTGATTTTTGAGGGGTTAAATATGGAAAACATTAATTGATTCTAACACTTAAAATGGAGAAGGAAATAGCAACCCACTCCAGTGTTCTTGCCTGGAGAATTCCATGGGCAGAGGAGCTTGGTGGGCCACAGTCCATGGGGTCGCAAAAGTCTGACAGGACTGAGTGACTAACACTAACTAACTCACACTTAAAAAGACAGTAGATTAATCCCTGTGCGAAAAGCAAAGAAGGAGCATATTGGAAGTAACTCATTAGGGAAAGGAAGTCTCTACTAAATGGAACCTTTCCCACCCTAAACATGTTTATAATACACACAGCCCAGTTGCTGTGGTGACCCATGGCCCAACTATTTTTCAGAAACAGTAGTTAAGACCCAAAAAATAAATGTCTCCAAATTCAGAGTGCTGCTTAAGTAAAAGATACAAATTATAAAATGTATTAAGGCGAATTTTGAGTTAAAAATCTTTATAGTTGTCAAAAAGTAACCTGCTGTATCTAACTATACAGTATTCTATACCAACAGAATACTAAAAGTGTACTATTACAATAAAACTTTAAAACAAATTTCCCTAAATGGATTGCACTTAGGCAGTTTTAACATTTAAACAAAATCAAAGAGAGGAGAGTTACCGAGGGGGAAAACTGAATCACAATACACTTTAAAGAAAATACCACACTTTTTTTTTTTCACTGACAGTCTTAAATACTGAAGCACCAAGTTTTCCACGCAGTGGGACGGTGAGTAGAAGATGGCAAAAGGAGAGGAAGAAGGATCTTATTCACCAACCAGAGATGGGTGAACCGTTCCGATGAGGGATAAACTCCGAAGTCATCTTTAAAAGCCCTAAACTTTAAATAGCAATAGCCTGGGGCGGGGGTGGGGGTGGGGGAGCCAACTGTGTATCTCTTGACTACCTCGGTCAACAAGGTCCCTTATTGCCTGCCCAGGTCAGTTAACCTTCAGCCCCCAAAAGATGTTTCCAATTGGTCTTCCCAGGAAAGAAGCCTCGCGGCAGCTGTGTACTAACCGTAAAGTAACGAGGGGAGAGGGTTGGCTGGAGAGAAGTAGAAAAAGAACTGAAAGTCGACGCCGGATGGGTTATGAGCGTGGGGTCAGGAAGAAACGCGGAAGACCGCGTGCCCCCGGGGAGATCAAAGTCCGGGCCCGGGTGAGCAACGACGCGCTGCGCTTTCACTTTCCAACTTCCTGTCACCACAGAAAGCCAGAGACGCTCCCCTCGGGCCCTCCCCTCCGCCACCCCGGCGAAAAAAGAAAAGAATAAAAAAACACCGCCACCCTTGGTCCCAGGGGCCTCGCGGGACCAAATAAGGGGCGAAGGGAGCGAGGCGGGTCTGTCCCGCGCCCACCAGCCCGCCTGCGGGCCGGGCTGACTGAGCCGGCGGGCCGGGCCGGGCCCCCCGGGAGCGCGCCGCGGCCCCGCGCCCGCTTCCTGAGGTGCAGCCAGTACCCCGCCCCGGCACACCGCCGGCGGGGGCGGCGGCCGCGGGACCCGGACGCGGACGCTCACCGAGGCCGCGCGCGGGGCTCCCTCCGGGTCTCCGCTTCCAACAAGACGCTCCTCTCCTCACGCTGGGAACTCGAGGACGGCGCGGCAGCCGCTGCGACCCTCGCGGCGGAGCCGGAGAAGGCGCCAGCG